AATTCCTTGGTCTTAGTAACCTTATGCTACGATTCAGCGACCACCTGAGACCACCAACACCTTTGTCAGCAAACGCGTCCTCAATATCTCAATTGGGAAAAAGACAAATAGGAATTCAGAATGAATAGAAGAGAACTGACTCACTCCTAATGTCACTCTAGAAAATGGCCAAGTGTAACCACTTCCTAAAGCGTAGTATAGCGAGTTTGGGTTTTAATGTAAACCCGGGTCCTAGATGTGATGACTACTCAGTGAATTCTTATTATCTAGCGGTGAACCTTTAGTGCAGGTTCAAACAAGCAAACAAGTAAAGCAAGCAATTAAACGGTTGTTTCAAGTCGAGAGAGGTCACCCGGATATGGTTCCCCCTAGACTGCAGTTAAGTCGGATTACAATTTACCAAGTTTAGTTTTAATGATAGTTATACTGCTGGAGGTTCTTAAGCAGTCTGAAGTCTCGACTAAAGGTCTGCAGACCCTCTCAATCTGAGTCTCCAGCGGGCGACTAACCTCCACCGGAGTAAACAGATTGAGGCCCTAACGAACAAAACCTCCATTACCGAAGTAACTTCGGTACAGAATAGTGAATTGGCTCCTCGACTAAATTCGCCAATTAACTACCTTCAATTAAGGGTGCTCTATCAACCTAGGCAGATATTCTCTTTCTAGGTTAAAGCAGAAACAACAGGAATTTGATCAGGATTCATGCCATTCAATCATTCAAACCTCAATTGAATATAATCAAATCATCAAATATGTAATTGGGTTCATACAATCAGACCTAACATACAAATCTAGGGTTCTCCATACCCAGATGAATAAGAAAACTACTCCATGGAGAAAGAAGCAAAAGCAGATTCAGATGCGGAAACCATACTGTGAAGGATGGGTTTCTGCTCCTGGTCGTCGATCGGCACTTCTCCAAGCTCAAGCCGGGCTCCAATGGTGATGAAGATTCAGCTAGGGCACTTGGGAACTCTTGTTCGTCGCTTCCTCTCTCTAGGAATCGCTCTGTCTCTCTAAAACTCGGATCCCCTTCTCTTTTGGCTGAAATCTGCCTAAAAGGGCATCACTGGGCAAAACACGGCCGAGGGCACGGCCGTGCTTTGCTCCAGCCCGCCCATGCCCTTGCCACGTGTTAAAAACACGGCCATATTTTGAGGAAAACACGGCCGTGCCTAATGCTGGACACGACCGTGTTTTGCGTCAGCCCCACCCGTGTTTTTGGCCAGCGTAGGACAAACTTGGATCAAGCCTCGGCAGTAAAAACACGGTCCAGGAACACGGCCGTGCTTTGATTTAGGCGCGCCCGTGCTTTGGCTCCAGCTCGACCGAATGACTTCCGAATGCCCCGAAACTCGTGCTTAGCCTTTTCTTCGACGTCTGGGACCTGAAATATGTCAAAGTAGCACAACCCGGCGCAAAATAGGCCAAAAATACACGACTATGCCCCACAAACGGATAGGAACTAGGGTTGCAAACATGTGCAATTACATCGTTATCAAATTCCCCCACACTTAACCGTTTGCTTGTCCCCAAGGAAACCAAGTCAGACACAAGGTAAGCTCAAAACGTTTCAATCAAGCAGGCTTTAGGGCATATCATATCGGCACAAAGCACGTGGATCATACTGGCCTTCGATCATTAACACATGGGCAACTCCAACGACAACCTAGACAACCACCACAGATGACATTCGAATGCAGTAAAGTCGAGCAAAGGAAGAGTTCCCTTCTGTTCACCAACCAACATAGACTTGACTCAACCACTTATTCCAGACAGTCACTTCATGCAAAAAGCTCAAGATATCAGAATTAAGACCGAGCAATCTAGGTCCTCATCGGGATAAAGAGTATAGAGAATATGAGAAAATGAATCGCTCACTCTCGACCAGTGGGGTCAGGACAATTTGATGCGAAAAATGTGCATGCTTATTCTCTCAATCCCTAACGTCTCTTCACCATGAAGGCACATTTTTGTGGTGGTGGCTCTCTTTTGCTTTCATTCACTTCTTTTTCTTTTTTTCTTCATTTCTTGAGAGAACCACCACCTATGCACATTTTTGCAAACGCATGCCCTTTTCATTTTTTCAAGAACTACCTCCAACTCTCACATTATATTAAGAAGAAACAGCAGAGAACATGGAGAAACCACTCTGTGGAACCTTCTAAAAGATGCAAAGGGGGGTTTTCTATAAGACCGAAAGAAAGGATAACACACGGCTCAAAGGGCTGACTAGGGGGTGTGACACATCAAGGCAGTCAATTTGGTCGTGGGCTAATCCTACGCCTCCATCATCTTAGCTAATGACAACGTGAATGTTGCACATCATGGAAGAGGGAACTATCGCACAAGAAAGAAACGAGCAGGCTCAAGTCTCACATGGCTACCTATATGCTCTATCTCTCATTCTGATTCCCTGAACTAGATGCATAAATGACTGTCAAAAGCAAGTGATCAATCCAAGTCATAGTTGGTAAGCAAACAGTTGAAAAACTGAACCCCTACACAGTTCTACTGCACATCTCAGTCATCATAATAAGCCATTCAATTCACTAATCACATCCACAGTGCCAATACGATCAAACATCAAGCAAACAGCAGTGCTTGGAGCCCTCAAATCTCGAGATTTGGACAGCGGACTAGGCTCCAAGCACACATATATACGTTCCAATTAATACAAAGAGCCCCCCCCCCCCCCCACACACTTAAATGTGATAGTGTCCTCAATGGAGCAGAGGGAAGGGGAACGATGTTACCGGAAAATGAGATCAGGAACAGGGACTTGGAGGCATACCAGTCAAGAGTAGGGGACTGAAAGGGGAACCAGTCCAAGGCACAGAGCTAAAGTCAACAAAAGACACACACTGGGTGAAAGAACCGGAATTCCAAGTCTACAATCCAAAATAAAATATAAAAACAAACAAAACAAAACGAAACAACAAAAACATGGAGTTTCAGTCTGGAAAACAAATGAGGTGCAGAACCAGCCACTCGCCACTAGAATGCATCACCACCATCGCCGGTGGGTGGAGGGTACTCGTCCTCATACCCCGGGGACTGCACGAAGGGGTAGTGGACTGCGTTCGGGTCCAAGCCTAGGTATGACATGATGTAGTGCTGGCCGGACATAAGACGACGCCCGCGGTCCCGCTCACGATCGAGGCGGGTGTGAATGCTCTCCTGGCCGGCCAGAATGCGCTCGTTCTGCTGAGCGATGGCCGCCAACTGGTCAGAAATGGGCACCACGGGAGTAGGAGACCCGGGAGCTGGAGACCCGGGAGCAGCGGAGGTGCTCGCAGGAGTCTGGCCACGAACGAATAGTACGGCGGGGAACCCGCCGTCCCCCAGCTGCGCTCGACTCTGGCTGATCGACCTCTGCAGGTGCAGGTGGACGAGGGAGGCCCACAATCCAGTGCACGCCCCCTTGGCGAGCAACCATATGCTGATGGCGGAGGACGGACTCGCTGAACGGGGACGGTCCTCGGACCATCGTCATCCCCGTGATGTCGACCCCGTAGTAGCGGGCCAAGGCAGTGATCACCGGGCCACAGACAAGGTTGCGATCCTGATTGGCGGAGGCTTTGGCGAACGTCCGGGCGAGCCCCGAGCCCAGCTCGATGGTGTCCTCAGAACGACCCATCCCATGCATGAAGAAAAGTGTCCGGAGTGTGACCCGGTTGGACGAGCCTCGGCTGGGGGTGTAGTACTGGTGAGCAGATGGTTGAGGATCCGCCACTCCGGACGGAGGAGAGTGGCCCGCGTCTGGCTGGCAATGTACTGCTCATCCACATGGTTCGGCAGGCAATTGCGCTGGAAGTAGGCCTGGGAAGCAAATTCGGTGGGATCAGTGATGTCCACGTACAGGGACCAGTCGCTGGGGTGCGGGGAGTTGAACCGAAGTGTAGACGGAGTGCTCCACCCCGTCGAGCGTGAAATGAACCGCATCAGAATGGTCAGCTGAGCCCTTCGGGGAGTGGCGGAAGGATGCGTAGAACTCCCAGACGAGCTCCTGGTAGGTCGGCTCGGCGAGGCAGAGAAGGCGCTGCCAACCATAGGGGCGAACAGCGGCCTCCATCTGCGGCCTGGCATGAAGCGCCTCGAACACCTCAAAATCGAGATGCAGGTGCTCGGAGATAGTGCGGTTACGGATGGTCCGCAACAGATGGCATTGGGTGATGCTCAACTGGTCAAGGTAGTCTTCCATGATCCTGCAAAGCACAAGGATGTACAAATGGCACACAAGCGAACAGGGTCAATGTTAGGCAAAAACCACACTGGGAGCCCTCATATCGAAAGATATGGACAGTGGACTAGGCTCCCGGTGAAACAAGCATACCAATCATACGAGAATCACACAACCAAACACACCGGGGACCCTCAAATTGAGCGATTTGGACAGTGGACTAGGCCCCTGTGGAACAAACACCAAATCCATACCAAATAGGCACCAATCGATCCACCACACAAAAACCACACAAGCACGCATACAATGCCAACATGCAAATGGTAGGCCGAAGAACTGAAATCCCGAGACAAAAATATAACAAGCAAAGAGCGCCATAGGCCTACCAAACCATTCCCAAATCATGCCACAATCAACAATTCTTCACCTAACTCTAGGTATCGATTCTCCAAAGATAAAATAAGAGGCAATGAAAACACACCTGGAGACGCAAGTAGATACCGCAAGAGAGGTGAAGAAAGTGGTAGAGAACTCACCGTCGGCGACCCAACCTCAGCCAAACACACCCAAACCTCTGGGGTTGTGCTCCTTGACGCCAAGAGCGTGGGGGCGGTCGCGGTTTGTGATTTGGAGGTCGAGAGAGGGAGTTATGGCCGGAAAAACGAGGGAGAAGAGGAGAAACCCGCAATTCCAGTGGGGGGGGGCGGTGGGAATTTGAAAGAAATGAATCTGGGGGGAGAGAGGGCTGAAAATCGACTTTTATAGGGGGGAGGTTAAAACACGGGCAGGCTGGAACACGGCCGTGTTCGGCGTGCTCCGCGCCCGTGTTTTTACTGCCGCGGGCGTGCTCCCACTCAAAGACTAAAAAACAGACAAAAATGAAAAAGACAAAGGGTAGAAATGCAAACCGTGGTGGGGTTGCCTCCCCACAAGCGCTTCTTTACCGTCTTTTAGCTGTATGCCCATGGCGGAACTAAGGGTCCGCGAAGTCCACTGGCAACTCCGCACGTTCGGCCTCGCCTCTCAAGTAGAGCTTGAGACGATGGCCATTCACTTTAAATGGTTTAGTCTGCGGGTTGGCAATCTCAATCGTGCCATAAGGGAACACCTGTGTGACCGTGTACGGCCCAGACCACCGGGAACGGATTTTTCCGGGAAAGAGCTTCAGGCAAGAGTTATAAAAGAGAACTCGATCACCAACCTGGAACTCTTTCGGACCCCGCAACCATGCATCGTGTAGGCGCTTAGTGTGCTCCTTGTACAACTTGGTGTTCTCATAGGCGTGATAACGCCACTCCTCTAGCTCCAGCATCTGCATTTTGCGCTCAACACCTGCAACACTAACATCCAAGTTGAGCAGCTTAAGGGCCCAAAAGGCCTTGTGCTCTAGCTCCACGGGCAAATGGCATGCCTTTCCATAGACAAGCTGGTACGGTGAAGTACCAATGGGCGTCTTGTAGGCAGTGCGGTATGCCCATAGAGCATCATCGAGCTTGGTGGACCAATCCTTGCGGGATTGATCCACAATCTTCTCCAGGATACGCTTGAGCTCCCGGTTCGTCAGCTCGGCCTGACCACTTGTTTGAGGTTGGTAGGCCACGGACACCTTATGAGTTACACCATAGAGAGACAGTAACTTATCGAACTGGCCCTGGAAATGGGTGCCTCGATCGCTTATGATGGCTCTAGGTGTCCCGAACCGGGAGAATAGCTGCTTCAGAAAACCACAAACACGTCTAGCATCATTAGTGGGCAAAGCTTGCGCCTCAGCCCACCTAGAGACGTAGTCAACAGCAACAAGGATATAGGTATTACCAAAATATGGAGGGAAGGGGCCCATGAAGTCCATACCCCAGACATAAAAAATTTTACAAGTTATAAACACATTATGGGCATCTCATCAAGGGTAGAGATGTTACCTGACCTCTGGCATCGGTCGCACCTGTGTACGAAGGTGTCTGCGTCCTTGAAGAGCATGGGCCAGTAGAAGCCTGACTGTAGCACCTTCCTCGCTGTGCGGTTTCCTCCGTGGTGACCTCCAGTAGGTCCTTCATGACAGTGAGATAGAATGCCCTCCATCTTACTCTCCATAACACAGCGACGGATTATCCCGTCGGCTCCGATCCTGAAGAGATGAGGGTCATCCCAGAAGTAGTGCTTCAGGTCGGAGAAAATTTTTCTCTTGGCATGGGTTGTCATCCCCTTGGGCAGCTGCTGGCCCACCAGATAGTTTGCAAAATCGGAGTACCAAGGGGTGACACTCTCCACCAAGTACATCATCATCAGTCTCTCATTCGGGAAGGAGTCGTTGATCTCCTCCTCGAGGTTGTCCGCAGGAGGTGCGTACAACCAGGAGAGGTGATCGGAGGCAACATTCTCCGCTCCCTTCTTGTCCCGAATCTCGATGTCGAACTCCTGCAATAGTAAGATCCATCGTATGAGCCTAGGCTTGGCATCGGCCTTGCTCATCAAGTATCGAATTGCGGAGTGATCTGTATACACGGTCACATGGGACAAAACCAGATAAGGACGAAATTTATCGAAGGCAAACACCACCGCGAGCAGCTCCTTCTCCGTGGTGGTGCAGTTCTCCTAGGCATCATTCAGGGTCTTTGAGGCTTAGTAGATAGGTCGGAAGTGCTGATCTCGCCTCTGCCCCAATACAGCATCAACAACAAAGTCACTGGCATCACACATCAGCTCAAATGGCAGAGACCAGTCAGGAACAACCATGATAGGAGCTTGAGTGAGTTTCTCCAACAAAGGTCGAGAATGCCACTGTGCATGCATCAGTGAACTGGAAGGGGGCATCCTTCTCAAGAAGCTTAGTCAGGGGCAGGGCGATCTTCGAAAAATCCTCGATGAACCGCCTGTAGAACCCTGCATGGCCTAAAAAACTCCGGATCCCCTTAACAGATGTAGGAGGAGGCAGCTTGCTGATAGTCTCAATATTTGCTCTATCCACCTAAATCCCCATCTTGGAGATCTTATGCCCCAGAAGTATGCCTTCGCGAACCATGAAGTGGCACTTTTCCCAACTCAGTGCCAGGTTTGTTTCTTCACACCGTTTAAGGACGAGTTCCAGGTTATGGAGACAGTGAGAGAATGAGTCTCCGTAAACCGAGAAGTCGTCCATAAACGCCTCCATAATCTCGCCGACCAGACGGTCAAAGATGGCGAGCATACATCGCTGAAAAGTGGCGGGGGCGTTACATAGCCTGAATGGGATCCTCCGGTAGGCAAATGTGCCGAAGGGATAGCTGAAAGTGGTCTTTGCCTGGTCCTCCGGTGCAATGGGTATCTGGAAGTACTCGGACATCTCATCCAGGAAACAGTAGAACTCGTGCCCCGCCAGTCTCTCCAGCATCTGGTTAATGAACGGCAGCGGGAAGTGGTCCTTCCGAGTGGCGTCGTTCTGACGCTGGTAATCAATGCAGACACGGTACCCGGTCACCATGCGCATCGGGATGAGCTCATTCTTCTTGTTAGGCACCACAGTCATCCCACCCTTTTTGGGTACCACCTGGGTGGGACTGACCCACTCTCTGTCGGAAATGGCAAAGATGATCCCCGCGTCCAGCAGCTTCACGATCTCTGCCCGAACTACAGCCTCCATGTTTGGTGCCAGTCCTCTCTACGGCTGTCTCATTATCATCATCTCATCCTCCATCAGTATCCGGTGGGAGCAGAAGGAGGGGCTGATCCCCCGGATATCTGTGATCTTCCACGCTAGAGCACGCTCGTGCCGTTTCAACAAGGCCACCAGTCTTTCTTTCTGCTCGGGTGTGAGGGTCGAGCTGATGATGACTGGAAGCTTATTCCCCTCCCGGAGAAATGCATACTCCAAGTGAGGAGGGAGGGGCTTTAGCTCCAGCTCTGGTGGTTCCTCCAAGGAGGTAGTGATGCGGGGTGATGATGAGATCGGTTTGAACAGCTGGTCGCCGTCCAGGGATGTGCCACTCTCCAGCTCGGCCAACTGCTCCGCCAGCTGCGGCTCCTGCGATGCCTGCTCACCTAGCAAAATACAACGCTCAAGAGCATCGTCAGTACCCGCACTCATTATAGCGAGTACGGTCTCAAAATCAGCAAGCACATCACAGTAATCTATGTCATCATGCAAATGGGAGTGTTTCCCATTCTCAGACACAGAAAAAGTAGCATGTTCGTCACCAGCACGCAGAATCAATTTACCACTATGCTTTGGCTCCAGCTCAACCGAATGACTTCCGAATTCCCCGAAACTCGTGCTTAGCCTTTCCTTCGACGTCCGGGACCTGAAATATGACAGAGTAGCACTAACCGGCGTAAAATAGGCCAAAAATACACGAATATGCCCCACAAATGGATAAGAACTAGGGGTGCAAACATGTGCAATTACATCGTTATCAAGAACGCGAAGAGGAAACAACCAAAAGCTGAACTTTCAAACCTAACCATCTCCCTTCCTAGGACTGCAATGCGATGATTGAAAAACGTAAGATGAAAAGAAAAGGAGAAGGGAGATTACAAAATAGATCTAAACAGGACTTCAAAGACTACCTCGGCATCCGGAAGCTTTAACACTGGACGCATCACTAATATTTCCAATCACGAACAACACTCCAAGTCCAGGGTTGCCTTTGCTATTTACGCTATCATTTCTGTTGAACTTGAACATTTAGTTTGGAGCACCTCCCACTTTCTGTGTCAATAATTCTGGCCATCCCTGAGAATGTTGAGTTGTTTTTTTTATCTTCATCATTTCCGGACTAGAGCACAGTACCTCCTGATTTCTCTTTTGAAGCTTTTTGGAGAACTTGCCAAGTCAGGACCTGCAATTGAATTTCAACAACAATTGGTTAACATCTATGGAAAAATTCAACATAAATGATCACAAAATACATGTATAGTTGTTGACAGCAAAACAATTTTAAGCTTCTGTATTGAAGAACTGCTCAAACAAAAATCAATTCAAGGTGAAAGTGGAAAGAGTATTGGGGGCTTTAACCCATCAATCAAATATACATACTAAACAGAAGGACCATGCTCAAACAAAAATAACACTGTTAATAAGTGGTGGAATTCCTCTAAAAGCCAAGATAAACTCCAATCCTCAATCCAATACAAAATTATGAAAAGAAAGAACTGAGATGACTCATCGAGTGGTCAAGAAAGCCCGCCATACAAAAGTAATTCTCTCGTCCAGCAAATCACCCGAAACCAAAGATAATAATGACAGAGGCCATGAACGAAACTGCAAAGAGACAAACAAACTCATCAAGAAAAGAGAGGGGAAGGGGAAACCCATCTGATAACGTCGTATTTGCACATGTTTGCACCCTCGTTTCTTCATCATTTTGGCTAGATTTTTTGATTTCTTGGACTATTTTACGCTAGGTTGTGTTCCTTTGTCACATTTCAGGTCCTAGCATGTAAATTGAAGCAAAGGCGCAAGTTTCAAGTCAATCGGAATTCATTTGGCAATTCGGGAGAAGAAACACGAGCATGGCCTGAGGAATAATGGATTTCTACCTCATTTTATGGACAAATAATCGTGGAAGTTTGTTATGAAAATAAAGAGGACGAGACTACGAGCGTCTGGGTTCAAACAGTGACTGATTCGGAGTCCGGACGAGGGAGAAACGAAGCATTAAACAGGAGCGGAGGAAGAATTACGGGCAGCCCCTGCCCAATTACGGGTGTAATTGCTTCTGTCATGCCCGTAAATGGAATGCCAAGCCTAAATCCCTGAGAATTCCTGTCGCAGAGCAAATTACGGGCAAGAGTGGACTCATTTACGGTTGTAATTACTTAAATATTGGCAGTAATTGGGTAATTACGACCGTAATGACCTTCCTCAGAGTTTAGTGAAACGCGCGTTTTGGGTGAATTACGGGCAGACCATGATTACGACGATAATTTAGCCTGTATTTCACCCAGAATTACTCGGCTTAGTTTGGTAGATAATAGATATTCACAGAGTAGGCAGTAGATCTAGACCCCGGGTTGACAATTAGAGCTTGCCTGTTACTGCATTTCCAGACTGCGATTACACTTGGTCGCAGTTTGGTGTTGTGTTTTATCGTGTCAAGTTTTTGGTGTCGTTGCCGGGGAACGATGTTTTCCTTTCGTTTATTTTTGGTTTGTCCACTTGGAACTATGGTTTCTATCACCCAGTGTGTTTTGCTGATGCTAGCCCCGCTGAGTGCTCCACTTCCAGTCCCCCGGCAGTCTTTCCTTCCGGTAACATCGTTCCCCTTATCTTTCCCTCTGCTCCATTGAGGGCAATGTCGAATTTAAGTGTGTGTGTGGGGGGGGGGGGTCTTTGTATTCATTGGAATATATATATGGGCGCTTGGGGCCTAGTCCGCTGTCCAAATCTCGAGATTTGAGGGCTCCAAGCACTGCTGTTTGCTTGATCATATTGGCACTGTGGATTTAATTGGTGAATTGAATGACTTTCGAATTAATGCATGACAACTGGATTGTGACTAGGACGACCTATAATGATGACTGAGACGTGTAGTAGAGTTGTGTAAGGGGTTCAGTTTTTTAACTGTTTGCTTACCAAATGTTACTTGGATTTATCACTTGTTCTTGACAGTCGTTTATGCATCTAGTTCAGGGAATCAGAATGAGAGATAGAGCATATAGGTAGCCATGTGAGATTTGAGCCTGCTCGTTTCTTTCTTGTGCGATAGACCCCTCTTCCATGATGTGTAGCATTCACGTTGTCACTAGCTAAGATAATGGAGGCATATGAATAGCCCACGACCAAATTGACTGGCATGGTGTGTCATACCCCCTAGTCAGCCCCTTTGAGCCGTGTCACTTTCTTTCTTTCGGTTTATAATGGAAAATCACCCTTTTGCATATCTTAGAAGGTTCCACGGAGTGGTTTTTACATGTTCTCTGCTGTTTATGCTAAAAATGATGTGAGGGTTGGATGTAGTTCTTAAAAAGTTGGGCATGTGTTTCAAAAATGTGCATAGGTGGTGGTTCTCTCAAGTAATGAAAAAAAAAAGAAAAAAAAAAAGATGAATGAAAGCAAAAGAGAGTCATCACCAAAAATCTAAATATTGCCCATTAAGTAGTGTTTCTTAGCAGTCTGGCTTGGAAATACTAACATTTATGTGACCTCCTTTGCTCTTGTGCTCTAGAGAATGTGAGTAATGCAGAATGGCAGAAAGAAAGTAAGTGGTTTGATTGACTGTGATTGTGTTGGGTTGGGAATTGTGGAACCTTGTGCCATGAATACTTCCACTACCTAAAAGGCCTTTTACCCATGTCCAAAACCCTAGCCAGTCATCTGAACCTGTGTCTAAGACCTCCGGATTAGTTAGTGATGACACCCATTTATGTGAACGCTAACATTTAGAGGCTGCCGTCATGGTGAAGAGACGTTAGGGATTGAGAGAATAAGTATGTGCATTTTTCGCATCAAATTGTCCTGACCCCACTGGTCGAGAGTGAGCGATTCATTTCCTTGTTCTTTACACTCTTTACCCCGGTGAGGACCTAGATGGCTCGGTCTTGGTTTTGATGTCTTGAGTTTTATGCATGAGATGATTGTCTTGAATAAGTGGTTGAGTCAAGTCTAGGCTGGTTGGTGAACAGAAGGGAGACTCTTCCTTTACCCGATTTTGGTGCACTCGAATGTCCTCTGTGGTGGTCGTCCAGGTTTCTATTGAAGTTGTTCATGTGTTGATGTCTAAAAGCCAGTATGATTCTCGTGTTTCGTGCCTATATGATATGTCCCCAAGGATTTCATGATTGAAATGTGTTGAGTTTTCCTTGTATCTGACTTGGTTTGCTTGGGGACAAGCAAACGGTTAAGTGTGGGGGAATTTGATAACATCGTATTTGCACATGTTTGCAACCTCGTTTCTTCATCATTTTGGCTAGAGATTTTTTTATTTCTTGGACTATTTTACACTAGGTTGTGTTCCTTTGTCACATTTGACGTCCTAGCATGTAAATTGAAGCAATGGCGCAAGTTTCAAGTCAATCGGAATTCATTTGGCAATTCGGGAGAAGAAACACGAGCATGGCTTGTGGAATAATGGATTCCTAACTCATTTTATGGAAAAATAATCATGTAAGTTTGTCATGAAAAGGAAGAGGACGAGACTACGAGCGTCTGCGTTCAAACGACGATTGATTCGGAGTCCGAACGAGGGAGAAACGAAGCATTAAATAGGAGCGAAGGAAGAATTACGGGCAGCCCCTGCCCAATTACGGGCGTAATTGCTTCTGTCATGCCCGTAAATGCAATGCCGAGCCTAAATCCCTGAGAATTCCTGTCGCAGAGCAAATTACGGGCAAGAGTGGACTCATTTACGGTCGTAATTACTTAAATACTGGCAGTAATTGGGTAATTACGACCGTAATGACCTTCCTCAGAGTTTAGTGAAACGCGCGTTTTGGGTGAATTGCGGGCAGACCATGATTACGACCGTAATTCAGCCAGTATTTCACCCAGAATCGGTTTTTTGATGCAGATTCGAGCCAAAGGAGAGGGAATCGACTTTTTGGAGCAAAAACAGAGATTTAGAGACAGAAAGTGCGAAGAACAAACCCTAGGAGCTATTTGGAGTGTATTTCTCACAATTGAAACCCTGCTGCAACCTGAGATAGATAGAATCTGATTAGGTTGCTAGAGCTTCATCAATCGGTAGTGGTAGATTGATTATACGAGAGTTAATCGATTTGCTGCTTTGTACTGGAATCCAATTCCAGTTGTGGAGTTTTGCGTTCATAGCCCCAGCTTTCAATCCCAGGGAAGACTAGTCGTCTGCCGGGTAGTTGGACTGAGAAGGCTTGGTCAGCTTAAGAGATTCCAAGCTACTGTCGGATATTCCGCAGTTTAATCAATAGTTAATCAACCCAGGGTAATTACAAATGTGACCTAACTAAGGAGGTAAGGGAACTCATTCCCAAGTGACTCTTCCCTTGCTTTAGAAAACCGAACCATTTCCTGCTTTCTTACTACTTTTAGTTAAAATCACAATCACTCGACTTAGTTTGCTAGATAATAGATATTCACGGAGTAGGCAGTAGATCTAGACCCCGGGTTGACAATTAGAGCTTGCCTGTTACTGCATTTCTGGACTGCGATTACACTTGGTCGCAGTTTGGTGTTGTGTTTTATCGTCTCACCATCTTTTGTAGAGATAATGAAGCTGCAACATAAAGTTGCTTCCCTAGCAGCCCAATCCCCTGCAAGAGTTTGAATGTACAGACACCCCTGGCCAACAACTTTTATTGCTGAACTCGACACCTGAATCTCCTCTAAAGGATCAATACTGGATGATTAATGGAATTGTAAGAAAATTAAGAAAACTCATCAGAAGCCTGCTAAAAATGGTCATTTGAAAAGTAAAAAAGCCTCTGTTAGCAAATTTCCAAAAAAAAATCCATGATGAATAAACCTGGTTGTCTTCATGAGATCCAAGGTTTCTACTGCATCATGCAATTGAGATTGTTGAGGAGAACCCTTTGAAAGGCTTCGAGCACCTCGTCACACCACGAATCTTCATTGTTATTCCAATTAGTAGATCCCATCAGCCAAGTCTACCCACAACTTCCTAAAGAGAGACTAAATAATGTCATCTTAGAGAGAACCCAAAGAAACCTAGCTGAAAGCATAGCAAATTGGCAAGGAACAAAACAATGGATTAACAAACAAAAACACAAAAAACCAGAGGGACCATTGCTTACAGGACCTCTGATTCCTTTGCTATTTGGTTGATATGGGTTCGTCACCTCCACCATGAGCCACCAACAGTTAACTGTGTCGTTTGAAACTCCAATCACCCACTCGACCTCACTGATATGGGAAAAGGAAGAAGAAGATAGTGAGATACTCCCTGCAAAGCAAAAAAATAAAAGAGAGAGAGAGAGAGAGAGAAGTAAGAGGGCATACTTAGGGATTCCTCGGGCCAGATTCGGATGCACAGCTTCACATTCTCCATTTCGTTAGAGAGATCCATCTTCTTCAAGAAAATGCTTGGTATGGATCGCCTCGTCGCTGCTGTGAGACCTCCGTTGAATCCCATCAATCAGAACGAAATATAAAATCAGAACCAAAGTAAATAGCGAGATAAAAATACATGTGTTGCTGTAGTTCCAAACCTTTCTCACGTCGGAGAGAGGAATCTGGCGATACGCTGACGGTCTCAACGATTCTGACGGACCTACTCGCAACAGTGGGGTTGAGAGAAGAGGAAAAGAGTGAGAGAGAGGACTCGGTGACGATCCCATCCAGCAAGAAGGAAAAAATTCATGAAAAACAGAGCAAACAGACCTTGCGTATCTGTGCCACCTCCGATTCATCTCCCGACATACGTCCTCTCGTGGCCTCTCAGTTTCCCACCACAAACGTCATCGTTGACGATGAAAGTCCCAATACCCTCTTGCTCCGATGTCGGGAATCAACTCATGCCTTTCGGGACCTGACCGATCTTTTCAATCTCCTCTCGGATTTCAGTGCTCGCTAAGATGAATCTGAAACCGAGAAGGGGAGAAAAAATTTGATTAAAGCTTTCTCCAAATAAAATCCAATTGATGAAAGAGAAATTGAGGGTAGGCATGGTCATCGTCTCCTCAACTTATTCTTCTTTCTCCCTCAACGTCGGTGGCGACAGTAAGCACTGAAACAACGAATCGATTGCAGAGGGGAGAACATGCAAACAACGACCACAAAAGAGAAGGTTAGATCGAAAACCAAAGCTAGAGAGGGAAACCAGAGCATAAAAGATAGCGAAAGAGGAAATTATTTTGTTCACCTGGTTCTCTCTTTCTCTATCTCTGTCTTTCTTCGGATCTGTGCCACCGTCCGATTACTCTCCGCCTCTCAAATGCGCTAGTTGATTGCTTCAAGCACGACTGGTTTCCGAAAAGGAGATGAGAGAAGCAAAAGCAGAGAGAGGCGTGGAAAAAAGAGTGGAAAGAAAGAAATAGAGAAAGTGAGGTTATCTTCTGGCCTGGGTAATTGACCCTTCTCTGCGGTCTGTCTCTTCTGGCCTGACAAAGCAACATCAAAGCTTCGCCATCATCTCAAAGCTCCTGGCCTGACACAACAAGTATACTCTCCAAGCCTCGACATCACCACCAAGAAATCTTTAGAGGAGATGACCGCCCATTTGAGGCCGATTCGGTTTTCATCGCAAACGGAAGGAGGAAGAAAAAGGGCCTGCAACCATCTGCGAAACGGCGGCACAGAAACGACAAAAACGTCCACAATCGAGAGCTACTCAAGGTGGGCCCAGCCCAGAGCATAAGCCAATAGGAACAAAATGAATAGTCATTTTAGTCTAGGTGAACAGTCAAACGTGTCTAGGTGAACAAGAATTGGGGATTAGTGCAAATAACTCTCTTTAATATATGAACTCACCAAATAATAGTATAATGGACAATGAAGGCACAATTAATTTTTTAGAATGAATCAAATGATTTTCGCTCAAGACTGTACATGGGCGCTGGGCCGTGCTTGGGCGGCATGACATGGGCACGCTTCGAGGCCATTTATTTCGTGCCGTGCTTGGCACGGCCCGTTAGTTTTCGCGTCGTGCCATGCAAACCCATTTGTTAACTTTGCTAGGTCCGGCCTAGGCCCGGGCACGGTTCGAATCGTGTCGTTCCTATTCGTGTTTAATGAAAAGTACGAAAACAAAAGAGAGAATGAAAAAGAAGGTGAAAATTGGACGGAAGAAGATAGTATTAACCGATAATGTTTGAGAAAAGTAACAAATAAGGGGGAAAAGAAAATTGGAAGTATAGCGAGTGTGATTTGGCTTTGCTTAATTCTTTGTCCATTTTTACTTATGTTAGTAATTATGTATATATCTTTATGACACTTCAAACAACAACAAATAATTATTTTTCTACTTGTGTTTTGTAATATTTGAACCTATAATTCTTTTATATTTATTTTCTATCAAATAAATATTATTTTTGTTCCATGTCCGTTCTTATACTCAATAAAGTCTCGAAAATATTAGGCCCGACACGACTCACTTATATACCGTGCCGTGCTCGTACCCGTGCCCATGAAGTTTAGACCCGGCACGGCCCATAAATTATTCGTGCTCGTACCGGGCTGGCCCATTTATTTCGTGCCCATACTCATGTCGTGTTTTAACCGTGCGGTGCTAGTTCGTGGGCGGCACGGCCCGATGCCCACGTACACTCAAGACTTACTCGCGAAAGTGTGTGCAACACAAAAGTTGAAGAAACAATAATCGTGACACATAAAAGAACAAGAATTATTATTATATTTTATGTGTTGAGATTGTATTTTATGTGCGGATCGATATGATTATTATACTAATTAGGTCATGTTATAATAGGATACATGATGATTTGGTCCAAAGCAAACATCATAATTACCACAAAAGAAGGTGACATTAATTGCTTGTAAATGGATGTGATATAATAACTCAAGATAGGGTGCATATCCATGGGTTATGCACCCATCAATAACTAAATTTAGACCTTTAATTTAGAAAATCCAGATATAAGGATGAAGAATTAAATGTCATATTTATTTTCCCTAGCTTTCTTAATTGGCTCATATCTTCTTCGTTTTAACTCGGATTTCAATTATTTTTCACAGATGAAACGATTTCATTGTGCTCTACAAAACGATATTTATTTTCAATTTTTGTTTAGAAAAAAAATTTCTTGCCTCTCGATACCAACTGCATACCATATGATATCTTCGTCGTTTTTAATTCGTTTTTGAAAACGTTTGCACAGAAGGAACGAGTTCATGATCTATTGGATCTACAAATTTTTGGGTGAACAAATTACGAGCAAAAAAATGCCACACAATACCACCCTGGTACGAGGTGGTATCTTGTGGTACACAATGTTAAAAGTCGTAAATGACAGTTAATATACTTCAACTATCATGTATTCAATCATCCTACAGTCTTGGTTTGCTCATACCACCATCGTACGCTTTTCAAACCATATGTATGGTCTTATTTCAATACCAATCAATATCATATGGTATAGACTGATAAAAAATGGCTCAATATTTTTTGTTCCAAAAATATATCAAAGTGAATATCATTTTGGAGAGCACATTTAATCTGATTTATTTGTGCAAACAAATTTAAATTTCGACTTAAAATGAAAGAGAAATCGTCCGTTAAAGATAAAAGGCTTTCTAGGAGAGAGATGCTTGCCATGGTGTTTGCCCTTGGTTGCAGTCTTGCATGCGAGAAGAATAAGTATCGTTATATAACAGTAATACCATAGCCTGTTATATGGAAGTAAAGGCTAAATAGGTAGTTGTTATACTGCTATGATACTAATTACAGCTTTCCAATCTAGTTATATGTCCTATTCCCTCACGAGTTAATATAAGACATGATGAATTCTTGGGATCCCTGTTACGATTGTTTCTCGTTTGACATCAAGATGCCTCAATTTCTTGAACAATATGAAGCTTTGATCCAACAAGAGATACTACACCCATGTAAGACATACTTCTATGATCTCAATGCCTGAATCAAGAGAATCTTGTTGGTGTACCAAAAATAAAGATGAACGAAGCAAAGAGATTGATTACAACTTGGGGGGAATAAAATTTATGCCTATCAAGTATTTCACACAATTCATCCATGGGAAAATGCCAAGAGAATAGAAGGTGATGGCGCTTGTCGTAGTCTTATATGATATGGTTTTGTAAACTAAGGTTTGAGTGTTACATAGATGAAAAGATAGTATGAGCGTTTGGGCATGTCAAAAAGGGGACAAATCATGTCCCACCTGTAAGCCCAATTCCCGTAGGTCACTAGGGAATAATTGTGGCCCAAGTGTAATTATCACTTAATGATTTAATATATAAGGTAAATCCTATATTGATTAGGTTAATGAAAGGAAAATTCCTAATATATCCTGATGGTGGGTCTATATAAAGAAGCTCTAGGATTGGTCCTCTCTCAACCCATTACGTAGAATTTCTTAGCCATCACAGAAATCTCTAAACCTAAAACCTAAAGGGGTCAAGAGGGAGAAACTCAATTCCGGTGATTACTACTCCAGCGCCGCCGCCGCTCTCGTCATGGATCGAGGTAGGTTTTCCCGATCTATTATCGATTCGTGAAATCATCTAATTCTAAGATCCATGCTATTATGATTTATGTTTACATGTGGTATCAGAGCCTTAGGTTTACATGAATAGATGATTTTCGCTTACGTATTTTATTTCCGCTGCATCTGTGCGCCAAGCTCTGCGTATGAGAGCCATTATGCTTCGGCTGTACGGTTTAGGTTTCCAATCTTCCTTTTCCTTTTATCTGTACCTTTTGTCCAGGTGTTTGTCAATTTTCAAGCCATTCTTGCTTTGTCATTTATGTGGGTGCAATTATGTTTGTCAAATTCCATCAGTTGAAACATGTCTTGCGCACGGTTATTGTGATTATTGGCTTGATGGTTATTATATATACTTGATCAGTAGGTTTGATCAGTAGGTAATTATATATATATGAAGCCAATAGATGGCAACGAGGGGCAAAGAATGAATTGGAATTTATCAGTAGGTTTGTTGATTGATCAGTTAAGTAATTATAATAAAAAAAACATTAATGAAACAAGTTTTGTGTATGTGTTTTGAGAAATATAATTAACAATTGCTTTGACTTGAGTTAAATTATATCTTTGATATTTATGTTATGATTAATTTGTTAGTCACCAAAGTGGCCAAATTAGAAGGTTAATAGATATCAAGTTGAATCAAGTTCAACTACTAATGTTTATGTGATGCTTTAAAGTTGAAGTTCGTGATTATAAAATATTTTCGAATCGCCCAAAGGTTGATTGCTCGTTTTATAATTCATGAACATTATTGTGGTAAATTGATGTGCTTGGTTAGATATATTTAGTATATCCAAAGATTGCAAGTATATCTAATTTGAGTATGTCTATCACCAATTATATGATTATTTTGAGCAACAATTACGATTATTTATAGCATATATATTGTTGTTTTGCCCAAAGGTAGCACCAATATATGTTTTATGTTTATGCTTACGAATCTGTATTATAGTTTATGCTTATTACCCAAAGCATTAATGTGTGAGTACATGTTATATATGTTTGCAGCATCTGTTCATGTTTCTCTTCATTCGCAAGCCACGTCTGTTGTTAAGTTTAATGGCCTCAACTTCTATGAATGGGCTGAACAGGTTTAGTTTCACCTCGGTGTTCTTGATCTTGATTTGGCACTCTTAAGTGAGAAACCTGCTGCTCTTACTGATGCTAGCAGTGCTGAGGAAAAGTCTTTCCATAAAGCTTGGGAAAGATCTAACAGACTAAGCCTAATGTTTATGCGAATGACTGTAGCAAACAACATTAAGTCAACTTTCAATGATACTGAAAGTGCTAAGGAATTTATGAATTCCGTGAAAGAAAGCTCTCAATCTGAGTCTGCTGATAAGTCGCTTGCTGGGACACTGATGGGTACGCTAACCACCATGAAGTTTGATGGTTCTCGTACCATGCATGAGCATATCGTCGAAATGACAAACATTGCAGCAAGACTAAAGACCATGGGAATGGAAGTGAATGAAAATTTCCTAGTAACGTTCATCCTTAATTCCTTACCTCCAGAGTATGGCACATTCCATATGCATTACAATACTCTAAAGGATAAATGGAATGTGCATGAGTTACAAAGCATGCTCATTCAAGAGGAAGCAAGGCTTAAGAAACCAGGAAATCACTCTGCCAATCTTGTTGGTCATAAAGGAGCTGGAAAGAAACCATGGAACAAGAATGGGAAGGGCAAGGAAGGACTATCAAAGCTTAATGAGTCATCTGCCAAAATCCACAAGAAGGAACCAAGTAAGGATATATGTCGCTTCTGTAAGAAAGCCGGACATTATCAGAAAGATTGCTTAAAAAGAAAGGCATGGTTCGAAAGAAAGGGTAAGCCTAGTGCTTCAGTATGTTTCGAATCAAATTTAACTGAGGTTCCTTATAATACTTGGTGGGTTGACACTGGTTGTACCATTCATGTTTCCAAAACGATGCAGGGATTCCTTACGACCCAAACCATAAGGCAAAATGAGAAGTTCATCTATATGGGAAACCGGGCCAAAGTTCCAGTTGAAGCTATTGGGACTTATCGTTTGGTTTTAGATACTGGTCATCATTTGGACGTTGTCAATACCCTTTATGCTCCTTCTATTTCTCGTAATTTGGTTTCGGTGTCCCAACTAGATAAGGCTGGGTATTTTTGGAACATTGGAAATGGTTCTATTAGTTTGTTCAAACAGAATGTTTTATTGGGTTCTGGTACCCTTGTTGATGGTTTGTACAAACTAAAGCTTGATACCCTATTCGCTGAGACTCTCTTAACCTTGCATCATAATGTTGGTATTAAACGTGGTTTGTTTGATGAATCCTCTACTTACTTGTGGCATAAACGTTTGGGTCACATATCCAAAGAAAGAATGGAAAGGCTAGTAAAGAATGAAATCCTTCCTCATTTGGATTTTACTGATCTTGGAATTTGTGTTGAGTGTATTAAAGGAAAACACACAAAACACACACTTAAGGAAGCAGCCACAAGAAGCTCACAACTCCTTGAGATTATACACACTGATATTTGTGGGCCTTTTGATGTTCCATCACTTGGTGGAGAAAAGTATTTCATTACCTTTATCGTTGATTTTTCACGTTATGGATATATCTATTTGCTGCATGAAAAATCTCAGTCGGTAGATACCCTTGAGGTGTTTATCAATGAAGTTGAGAGGCAATTAGAAAGAAAGGTGAAAATTGTCAGATCTGATAGGGGTGGAGAATATTATGGAAAATATGATGAAAGTGGACAGTGCCCTGGTCCATTTGCTAAGTTCCTAGAAAGACATGGTATTTGTGCTCAATACACTATGCCAGGAACACCGCAACAAAATGGTGTTGCAGAAAGGCGGAATCGTACTTTAATGGATATGGTTAGGAGTATGTTAAGCAACTCATCTTTACCCAAATCATTGTGGATGCACGCTTTAAGGACCGCTGTCTATTTGTTAAACAGGGTTCCTAGTAAAGCAGTTCCTAAGACACCTTTTGAACTGTGGACGGGAAGGAAACCCAGTTTAAGGCACCTGCATGTTTGGGGTTGCCCAGCGGAAGTGAGAATATATTATCCACATGAAAAGAAACTGGATTCACGAACAATCAGTGGTTTCTTCATTGGTTATCCAGAAAAATCTAAGGGGTATCGATTTTATTGCCCTAACCATAGTACGAGAATTGTTGAAACTGGAAATGCTAGGTTCATTGAGAATGGTGAAGTTAGTGGGAGCTTAGAGCCACGCAATGTGGAAATTCAAGAAGTTAGAGTGCAAATATCTTTACCTCTACCCTCTTCTCAAGTTGTTGCTCCTGCACATGTTGAGCATGATAACGATTTGCAGGAACAACAAATGAACGGTCAAGCACCACCTAATATTGCTATTGAGAATGAACCTAACATAGATGAACCACATGAAATCGCATTAAGAAGGTCTACAAGAAATCGAAGGCCTACAATTTCTAATGATTATGAGGTTTATCTTCACGAGTTAGAATCTAATTTAGGACTCTATCATGATCCAGTTTCATTTTCACAAGCCATGGATAGTGAGCATTATGATAAATGGTTAGCTGCCGCGAAAGAAGAGATGAAATCTATGTATAAAAATGAAGTTTGGGACCTTGTTGATTTGCCTGAAGGTCGTAAAAGAGTTGGTAATAGATGGGTCTGGAAGACCAAACACGACTCTAATGGCAATATCGAAAGACACATGGCCAGACTTGTTGCCAAGGGTTTCACTCAGAAAAGTGGTGTTGACTATAAAGAGACATTTTCACCCGTCTCTAAGAAAGACTCCTTAAGGATTGTCATGGCAATGGTAGCTCATTATAATCTAGAGCTCCATCAGATGGATGTGAAAACCGCCTTTCTGAATGGGAATTTAGATGAAGCAGTCTATATGGATCAACCTGAAGGTTTTGTGGTTGAGGGAAAAAAACATATGGTGTGTAAATTAAAGAAGTCAATATACGGACTTAAACAAGCTTCCCGACAATGGTATATTAAGTTCAATGATACCATTACATCTTTTGGATTTAAGGAGAACATCGTCGATCGATGTATATATTTGAAGATTAGTGGGAGTAAGTTCATCATTTTAGTTCTGTATGTTGACGAAATCTTGCTTGCTACAAATGATCTTGGTTTATTACATCAAACCAAGGAGTTTCTCTCTAAGAACTTTGAAATGAAGGATTTGGGTGAGGCATCCTATGTGATTGGAATAGAAATATTTCGTGATAGATCACAAGGACTATTGGGATTGTCTCAGAAATCATACATTAACCGGATCCTAGAGAGATACAACATGGCTGAATGCTCTGCAAATGTCGTTCCAATTCAGAAGGGAGATAAATTTAGTCTCAAACAATGTCCAAAGAATGAATTGGAACGCAAGCAAATGGAACACATTCCTTATGAATCTATTGTTGGAAGTTTGAATTATGCACAAACTTGTACCAGACCAGACATCAGTTTTGCTGTCGGAATGCTGGGCAGGTATCAAAGTAATCCAGGAGTAGATCATTGGAAAGCTGCAAAGAAGGTACTAAGGTATCTGCAAGGAACAAAAGACCACATGCTCACCTTTAGGAGATCTGATCACCTTGAGGTGATTGGATATTCAGATTCAGATTATGCTGGATGTGTAGACACCAGGAAGTCTACTTTTGGTTATTTGTTCCTTCTAGCCGGAGGGGCAATTTCATGGAAGAGTGCGAAGCAGTCTGTTATTGCCACATCCACTATGGAAGCTGAATTCATAGCTTGTTATGAAGCTACAAATCATGGTTTATGGCTGCGGAATTTTATTTCTGGACTTGGAATTGTCGACACTATCGCCAAGCCGCTGAAAATTTACTGTGATAATTCCGCAGCGGCATTCTTCTCTAAGAATGACAAGTATTCAAAGGGTGCTAAGCATATGGAGGTGAAATACTTTGTCGTTAATGAAGAAGTTCAGAAACAAAGGGTGTCGATCGAGCATATTAGCACACAGCTTATGATTGCTGATCCATTAACAAAAGGATTGCCTCCTAAGACATTTACTGAACATGTCGAAAGGATGGGGATTATAGGACGTCATGACTAAAGTTATTTTATGTTTCATGGATTGACACTTTGAGCTCATTTATTTTGTTTCTGGAATAAAGTTATGAATCTTTTTTTATTTATTATGACTAGTATATATACATTATGCATTATGAGAACAAAACAAGATTTTTGTCTTTAGTGAAGACATTATTGTTGGACCATTATGACTACCTTGTTATGCGTCATATTGAGCATGAGACTGGTTTAGTGGTACATGGAAGGGACTATGTCGATAAAT